CGGCGTGTTTTGGGTAGTTGGTTTTTTAGTTCTTTGTTAAGCTATGTCTTGTCTGTTTTAGCGCTCCCCCGGGCGGATTTTTGAACGGTCTAACCTGACCCCCCCTCCCCCCATGTAAGTATTGGTGTTTGCGCTGTCTCTTGTTTGTACGTTTTGGTTTCCATGTCATATGTTGCTTTGTCTTTCTTTTGTGAGGACATGCCTTTCTGAGAGCCCAGGGCTTCCCGCCTTCACTGTGAGAAAATGGCTTCCATCAAGGAGCCAATTGTGGAAGTGGGCACTTGAAAGAATCGAAGATTGAAAGAAGCCCCCTAGCTTTGCCGTGCAGTGTAAATAAGTAGTAAGTAGAAAGTTGGAAGTAGAAAGTAGGGAGCAGGGGGTAGTGAGTAGTAAGTAGTAGGTAGCATGCCATGTGTACAGCACAGAGCAGACCTTTTACCTACTGCTGTGTCAGCCTTGCACCCTTATCTGCATAAATGTCACTGCTTCTCCGGATTGGCTGCATGTGACCACATTCAGTTTGACTTCTACTCTTGCAGTTACCCCTTCTCGGCCAACGTCCCACCGCTGCACCGCACCCACACCCACTAAGTTGGCTTTCTCGCTGCGGCCACAAGGGCCGGCGGAACAATCCGCAGGTGTAAATACCTGTAACTCAGTGTAGGCCTGTTGATGATGGTTCAGTTGCAGGCCTTGTTAAAGGCCTGTTGCGGACAAGAACGGACAAACCCAATTCATGGCCCACCCATACAGCCCAAACACGACTCATGGGACTGGCATATTTACCGATCAGGCCAGGGGTTTGGGAGAGTGGATCTGGGGTGGTTCACAAATCTGGCGGAGTGTCTGGACCAGGGACCGGTGTTTTCTTCGGTCTATGGTGTTCTATATATATGCAAGTTATATTGGAAGGCACCACTTCATCCTTGCCAAGTCAACTTGTCCTTCTGTAGCCTATGCGCGCAGGAATCTCGCAGTACCGCGTCAACCTTTTGATTGATCAAACAAGGCCAGCCTAAATGACATCCCAACATCTTGCGGTTTTCCAAAACCGAACCACTCGAAACCCAATCTCCCGCAAAACGCCCCTGCAAAAAGAGCTCGATCTACGGCAAGTTGAATTTGCAAGCCTCTGGGACGAAAAAATATCTGCCAAAACATGGAAGGTAGGAACCCAAATTCTCAAAGAATCCACAGCGGTTTTTTTCGCCTCTTGGCATGTAAAGAAGTTCCTTCGGGTCTCTTTAGGTGGTCAAACCTGGTTACGCGGTTTCAACTCACTTGAAACAGATTAGTCGGGATTGATCATCTGAAACCACCACCACCCACTGAACAAATATATTAGTGTATTTTAGTAAATTTTAGTGGTGGGAGTACAGGTTGAACATATACATATCTGAAACCACCACCCAGACTCTCTTTTGGAGGTTCAGAATCTCTTTTGGAGGTTCCTTCCTGAGCTTGTCTTCTGCCCGTGAGCAGGAAGAGTTTGTCCTTCCATCGGATGGAACCCAACACGAACCGCAGCGAGCGCTACCAACCACTAAATGCTGTACATCTATATAGAGCCCAAATACTCTTTATAGGCGGTTGGACACCATATAAGTTATTATTGCATAAACTTGATCAAACATGTAAACAATAAGTTCTCCCCAGTTCTCCCTCAAAAAAGACTGGATTCACTGGCTCAAATCCAACTGCAAACCAGGCTTCACCATCGCAGCATCCCCAAGTTGCGCAGCCACATGAATGGGGCAAAGGCTCTCTCTCTTCCTCCAAAGCCAGCCGCTAGTCCTGACCAGCTGTGGGGAAAGCAAGGGTGCCTGCCGTCTACCTTTTTCCACCTGTTATGTTGAAGTAATCATGAAGAACAAAACCAATCACAACAAAACAATCACGACAAAGGCTGTAGTTATAACATGCTATTATATATCTATAAATCACTGGCTAGGAGTCTTGGTCTTGGAGCCATGGACGTCACGAAAGCCATGCAGGCGCAGGAAGGACTTCAACTGCACGTGCTCCCGGAATCTCTGGTGACGTCCCGGGCCCTTGCCGCAGTGGAGCGCAAAATACTCCATGGACGGCAGCCAGGCACATAAGTAAAAGTCTATATAGGGGCCCAGCCTGAACGAATTCTAGTCATTCTTTGCTATACCGCTATACCGGCTATACCACTAAATCTTCTGGAATTTCAGTATATTTCAGTCTGTACTGCTCAGTGTTTCACATCTTCCCCTTGCACAGTTCCATACCACTAAGAGCTTGTCTTCCAACGTGGCTCAATTGATGACACGCCTCATGACCCGCCTTGCGCCCCTTGAGCCCAGCAAGCCGGAGCGCCCGATCGGATAGGCCCCATCCAGTCCCGGCTCTTCAGTTCGTGCCCGTGACTGGTACACGGACTTTTCGGGTGACTGCCCTCACGGACTCTCAAAAGGTCGAAGCTGACTGACACATGGCTTTTTGGGGACATGTTTCTTGTCACCAGTGGCCGTGCTGAGCTGCGGCATCCCCAAAGCGAGGAAACATCCAATCCGGGAACCGGCCGAAGAAGCACAAGTCCCAGGTTCAGCCCGTCAGATTAGAAGGGCATGGAACAAAAAAAACTTGAAATGAAGGTTAAGGGAAGCTGGAGTGTCCGTCATTTCCTCTGGTTGTCTCTCCATGCGGTACCGCCGTCTGGTCGATTGACCTTGACATCTGATGTCGAACGGTGCACCTCTTGTGGCGAACTCGTGTGTTCCATGTTCTGCAATCGGCAGCCGAAAGAACATGGGGAAGAAGTTCTGAAAACAACATAGAGCCGTTCAAGACTCATTCCCAGAAGTGGTTTCTAAACGGTATATACCCATGGGGGTGAAAGCAATGGTTTCCCGTAGATTTCCCCTTAAACCAATCCAGTAACCAATCCATTGACTCTTGGCTCGATTCCCAAATGATGATTAATATTTGGATCCTTTGCCAACCATGGTCTTTGGCACCTGAACAATTTGAGCCAGTTCTAGGGGCCCTCTAGTCCATTGGTGGCCCCTTGGATGGTTTTTGGCATAAATCTCTCGGATGTTTTCATCACCCGGCTTCTTAACCTGGCCATCTGCCAGGGCTCTTCCCGACCACCACTTTGGCCAGGCCCATGTCAGTGAGCTTGATGTGGCCAAGCCTCAGCAATCTTCCAAATTCACGGCAGGCATGAAGAATTTTCTATCGCTTCCTTCCGTGGGGTGTTTTTGGAGGCTAGAACAAGTCCAAGCGCCTACCATGTTCCTAACTAGCGTACGCAGGTCCCGAAATGACGCCAACGGTTCTTAAGGGTGCCAATCCCAAATGGCCAGAGCAGGTCATGGACAGCTCGTTTGAGTCGTGGACAGTCCGATCGCTCACAGGTTTGGACACGTCTTTGCTTCAGCCTCCAGGTCCGGCCGGGCCATGGCCGTGGCCGCCAGGTACCAAAAAAGAACTTCAAGGATTCGAACCGTTGTTCAAACGCGTGTTTAATATACCCTGGACCCTCCAACGACAAGAATGTTCTTGTTATTTTAGTTTTTGACTACATTTTGCCACCAAAAACTGTAAACGCTACAATCGCTAAGAACGACATGGAATTACCTGCAAAACGCCCGCAAATATCCCGCAAATATCCAAATCTCTTTGCATTGGAGGTTCAAGGACCCTATGGGCTTCCAACCACCACTTGTTTAATGATGTTTTCTTATGTTTTCTTAACCATTGTTTCACCAATGATGCTGCACTAAACGCACAAAGCAAGGATTAATGCGGCCAACCACCAGACCCACCAATCCCACCTTCCTAGGGGAGTATTGGGAGCCCAATCTTGTATGCCATACATGCATGTTTTGGCTTCATTAGTTAAACACATTCAACGTGCAAACCCACGCTTGAATGCTTGAACAAATCAATGGGGCGAAAAACGGGGTCTTAGAATCAAGGAAAGCGGAACCTGTTGCCTTCTGCAAAATATATTATAAATACCTAGCACTTCAATTTACAGTGGTTTCAGAGAAAAATTAGATGGTACAACGCCCAAAAGGTGGTTTATATGGATCCCCATCCAAAGGACATCTTTGGGCTTGTGCCATCTACTCTGAAAACGCTGTATAAATGTGTCTTCCCTGGCTCCGTTGGTGCTCCGTTGGTGCCATCCCTGGCTCCGTTGGTGCCATCCCTGTCACATTTTCCGAAGGTCAA